GTGCATGCTGTATTCCTCACAAAACTACTAATCATTCATTGCTGACTGCTCTCCTGGCTCACAGAGGGCATGGGTGAAGGAAGGTCTTGCCACTGGTCCTGGTGCATACCAATTCCCAGAGCTACAAAGGGGATGCAGACTCCTTGGCCACCCTGGAGTGCCTGAAACCAGATCCCAGACAGCTAAATGGGCTCCCTGGGACTTCAGCCAGAGGTCAGGTAAAATAAATGTATTTGAGCATATCTTCTGAAAGAGGTCTTTCAGACTTATTATTTCCTCTTAGTGAGAATATTTGAGCCAAAATGACATCAGCTTTTGCTAAAGAGAGCCACCTATGCTATTTCTTCAGTCCAGGCTGTGCAGTATCTGCCCAAGTGTCCTGGTGCATGCTCAGGACAAGAGGATCCTGCTCCTCAGAGGAGTCCCAACAGTTACAAGCAGTATTTCTTAACATGCCCTGCCTGTACCCCAAGGTTATTCTCATTCAGCCAGAGTTTTCAACTCTGATCTATGGGCTGTAGCAACATCAGGCTGAGGTTATGCATGGTGGGCCAAGAGGAGATGGATGCCTCTGCTGAGAACTCTACATGTGTGGAAACCTGGATGGATGGGATATTCCATAGGTTTTTTTGTGAAGAGACTGCCACCTGGATAGCATATTTAACTGGCTGCATGTTATCCAATAAGTTGGGGGGAAGTGGGAAGACGCTTCTGCCTTATGAAATATCCATGACAAAAATCAGCTATGCAAGAAGTATGGAAATCACTGCCTGTGTTGTGAAAAGCTGGCTATGCCTGTGGTAAGCATCTACAGTTGTTCTCAGACTTGTGGCATCTCCATTACAGACAAAGGGGGAAGTGTGCTAGTACATCTATTTTGGGAGTCTTCCCTTTATGGCCAGAACACTGCAGGCTTTGTGGGTATTCCTGCAAAGGCTCCAAGATTTCTGGGGCAAAGGAATAGCAGAGACAACTAAAGAGCATTGCAAGCCGTTGCAGCTGTTGAGCAGTAGCTTAAATGAGGATAAGGAAAGACACACCTGGGTTTGAGAAATAAAGAGGACAACAAAGTGCAAACAGGCAGTTCCTCTTCACACCCTTACAGCCCTTCACTGAGGAGTGATGAAGACTCACATTATCATTTGGTGATTTTGGAGAAATCATTTTTCTTTGGTTCTTTTGATAATACTTTTGTTTCCTTTCTCTCTTTTTTTTTTCTTCTCCTCCATTATATTGTTTGAGAAACCTCTTTTATTGCTTATTGTGAAAAAGCGGAGTGTGTTAAGTAGTGGCATAGAATAACTCATTTTTTCAGCTTGGCCTCTACAAGTTGAAGCCAATGCTGCTGCCAGGCATAACCTAGCAGAAGAGTCACAGAGGCAAACCTAGACTTAAAAATATGAGATGCTTATGTGCCAGACACAAAGTCTTTGAAATTTGGAGAGACTGGCAACATTACATAAGCATGCATAGTAATATAAACATTGCTCTAATGAGTAGTTTTCAGATCGCAGTCCAAGTCTACGCATAAGAGGGGGTAGAAATGTAATATCAAGTGGTTTGCAAAAATTTCCATTGGGTGGTGCTGCATTAACCACAGAATGCTGCAGATGATGTGACTGTAGTACACCAGGCAGAAGAAATAAGTATTGCCTCCACAACCTCAAAAATTATAGATACTATCATGCTTACTGAAAAGAGGAAACCATATGACTAAGTTTTACTTCCAAAATTGTAATAGAAGCTTTTGCTGTTTAGTAAATATTTCTTCTCTGCTCCCACTGTTGTGTAAAGACATCTGTAGTTGAGATGTATGAGACTTCTGATGAAGTCTTTGTGTAATATAGTATTTTTCTGCACAATTATTTTATTTCTACCTGTGTTCTTGCTCTGGTTTGCATTCCTGCTCTGAATTTGGATGTGAGGGACAAATATTCAAAAGCACTGCACCATCTCCCTCCAAGAAGCCAATCTAAGTGCAAAAACCCCAAAGCTAGCTAAGAGAAGTCCAACCAACTGATCTACAGATGTATGCCTGACAAAGAGCTTAAAAGCAGCCCAAGTACTGCGTGTTAAACTGACCAGAAGCCATGGCCTGGTGTGGAAGCAGAAGGTGATGGATGTCTTTCTCTGCATCTGTTGGTGAAAGTCACCACCAGATCTAGGTGCAATTTAATAGCACCCCTGTTAAATGAGGAGTTCCTGCCCTAGCATTCTTGCACCATTCAAGGAGTTGCACAACCACCCGAGACTTCCACTGCTGGGACCAGAGCCCCTTCACAGTGAGCTGATGAATGCCCCTTTTGACTCCTCGCTCACACACACACTCACTCTCCTGTGCGCTTCCTCCTCCTTCAGGCTCAATCACAGGTTTCTCATAGAAGAGTTTCAGCCATCAGATTTATAAAATAAATGACTTAGGAGAGTGGTACAGCACCAGGTTTGAGCTGGATGACTTCAGAGAGGGACCCTGAACAAATAAATCCCTGGGCAATTATATCCATATCACTTACACGCCCACTCCTCACAAGCTTGTCACACGCCCTTCTTGGTCTAATGGCAACTTTTGGCCTAGGGTCTTCTAACACCTTATTGGATTCTTTCTCTGTGTCCATGCAGGCAGGCCATTCACCACTCTTATCCTGTCAAGTTGCAGCTTCTGCTGACAGCTTGTCTGCTGGTTTGCACTTCTGGTGCACCTGCTCACTAGTAGAGCATGGGAAACCAAAAGAGCCCTACACTTAGGATAAACATTACTAAGCAATAACCAAAACATCAGGGTGTTATCAATATGCTTCTCATACTAAAGACAAAACACAGCACTTAACAACAAGCCACTAGTAAAATTACTAAGAAAATTATCAACAACTGGTATGTCTCAACACTCCTAGCCCTAAAACAATACCCTGAGTTTATTCGGGGCAAATTTGTATTGACCTCCAGTGAAAAATCTCTCAAAGCTGAATCCTATGGAAACAAACATGAAATCTCATCTTGAAAACCTTTAGATATTAAACAACGGAAACAAACATTCCTTTTGTAATCATGGAGTTTATTCTGCAAGAAGATGAGCATCTGCACCCTATTCAAGTGCAGTGCTTATAAACATGCTTTCTGTGAAACATATATACTATCTCTTTTGTTTCAGTGTTAATTCTTGGATTCTTAAAGGTTAGTATGAACTTGTTTGTTTGGTACCTCATGGAAAAAGGACCCAACCACCCAGAGCAGATGTTTTTAAAATCGATGACTGAGAAGATTATGAAGCTAATAATAGCCATATGTACATAGAAAACATAGGCGATTTCTTCATATACAACAATTCTGTCTATATAGTAAGTTTTGTGTGCACTAGGGTTCTCAGATAGAGGAGTATGCTGTAACACACTGCTGCTAAATGTGAGTAACAGGACCAAAAAGAGGAAGTGTTGTCATCCAGGGGATTTCAAAACATTTACAAAGAAAAAAATCTGAGAAAAAGCAAATTGCTGACTAGGGTAAGGGGTGTAATAGATATTTAGCATCAGATTAACAGAGGATTTAACTGTGCATCATCTAGGTTTTTGGTTTTGAGGCAGGAATTATCTTTACTTGAGCCCATCATGATGACACCCTGATGTTGCCAGATCACTGAGTACAGTTAAATAACATCCTCTGGAGAAGAAAACACACTGCACACCTAGAAATGACAAAAAGGTCTTGTGTCTTATCTGTGTAGAAATGCAAATATGGCCCATTCAAGTGGCAATTTTAAAGTTAGTTACTTAAGTTGCGAGTTAACATTTTCATATGTGTATCATGATTTTTGTCTACTTTACTTTTGAAATAATGAGTGACCCAGAAGACCAGGTCTCTATAGTACCTTAAACACAGTCTAAAAAACATAACCTAAAAGCTGAGGCTAATTGTTCTGGTGGTGCAAGCTGTGTGCATGTCTAGCAACATGGAAGTTAAAAAAAAGGAAGACTGCCTGTGCAAAAGTGTTTTAATAATCAGAAGAAAGGGGAAACTGAAAAAAAGATACAAAGCAAGCTCCCTCCAGATGAAAAGAAGGATGATGCAAATTATATTTAACAGACCATCTGACAGATAGAAATACAATTGTATGAAGTGGTTGTTGGGTCTTACAGGGAAGATGGGACTGAGGAGCTGTCTTGCTCAGGAAAAGAAAGAAATAGACATTCTCAAGCTGCTAAAAAATAAACGCAGGACAAACTACCAATAATATATTGCTTTAAAATATTTTCCACCCTGTATGTCCCAGGAAACTGGATCCACTAATGGTCATTCATGTACAAAACTGAGCAGTTCCTTGTAAATCATTATGCTGAAGTATTAAGAAGTTAAGAGCTACTGGAGAAAAAGTAGACATCTAATTTACCCTTATTTTAAGCTAATGTGGACAGATGCCAGGCTAGTCTGGAGGAGTCATAAAACCACAGCATGGATTGGGATCAAATGCCTGATGGTGGCCTGAGTATTTTCTAATTGGCGGGTAGGTCACATCCCATCTGGTTTATATTAGTATTGTTCCACTGACCCAAGTGGAGCTGCAGTAATGTGCAGCACCTGAAGACTCAGACCTATGTAAAGACATAGGAAATTTTCAAAGAAAGGATTCATTTGCCAGCTCCTCGGTGGCACGCCGTGTTTCCAGACCCATATCCCGCTCTGCCACTGTTGGTGTGCCAGGGAGCTGCAGCACTGGGGCTCCTCAGGGGCAGTGGAGCCATATGCCACCAACAAGCACAGCACCACAGCACCTGCACATGGAGAGCAAGGCAGGGATGATGGCAGCAACTGGGGACAGCCACGGTCCAGCTGTCATCCTCATACAGCTCTTTTCCCAGGAGCTGACCCAAGGCTGGCACCATCACAGAGCTGGTCAGGGCTGCTGGCAACCAGACTCCCCAGTGGAGAGAGAAGACTGTAAAGCTTGTTGGGGTCCTTGGGTCCAACAGTTAGTGGATGCTAATGATGACAAGCTAAAACTTCTCAGATAAAGATTAAATTCTTTTAAGTTGCTTTTTGTATTTATATGATCAGCTGTTTCACCATGTGTAGGGATCAGCAGCATACAGCAGCTATTGGTGTAAATTGCTTCAGCACCTTCTGAGGGACAAACACATTCCCCTCTTCTCTTATGAGCCAAAAGGTTTATGGCTAGGAGTCTCCGTAGAATAATCAAGGTGGAGCAAAGGGCTTGTATCCTCCTAAGTTGTCAGTTCATCATGTTTACATCGGATGTCTTGACCTGCAAAAAAGCTTGTGAACAATTTGCCATTGTCTATTCCTGCTATTACCCATTGATGAGCATTTATAGTGACATTTTTTAATCTGCTCTACCTGATCTCCCTACTTATTGATTAGTTTACTTCCAAGTGAGACCACAATTAGCAGATTTTCAGTATCTGGCTCTTTTTTAGTTTCCCCATTGAAACTGCCTAAAAAAATTGCTGAAAACTTATTTTTAACTAGCCTTAAAACACGAATTTATTGCTGTAGTTTTAAGTTTGAGAAGGGGGGCCTCTCTTCTTTTCCTTGCCCTTAGAGTAACCACCAATATAAAACTTCCAAGCTACTCAGTTCTCCTAAGTTTGTGTTTCATCATTACTAATGACACAAAGCAGATTGTAACATTTGCAAGCAATATTTTGCTTTCCAAAAATCTTTGTAAAGGTTAATTAAAATGTTTGGCAGAGTTAATCACATATAAAATGCACTTACGAATACAACACACAGAGGACAGAATATATGGAGTTACACAGTCCCCAGGGCTTGAACATGTTTAAAACAGATGCTTTAGCAAAATGCCATTAACATGCTCAGGCCGACCCTCCAGCCCACACCTCCCCTCCGCATTGCTTTGATATCACCCTATGCATTCAGCAAGGTTGCAACTGGCAATTTACTTTCCAACCTAATCTTATCTTGCTGGTTTGGCCACAGCTTTCTCTCCTGGCCATGATACTGGCTGTTCCTGAGATTTTGATAAGTTAACAAATCACACATGATGGCAAGCCAAGTGGAAGGACTAGAATCATCGAAAGAGATGCAGATTAAAGCTGTGTGCGAATAATTCTATAGGCATTTGAAGAAGAAATCAGGGTAAGATTTTTGCTATCAATACAGAAGTGTTTGCTCCTCCAGATTTCATTAGTGCTAGCCCTCATTCAAACTTCCTTTCTGCAAAGACTGCAGGAAGTCTGCTGACAGCGATCCTTCACCTTGTGCTTCCTGTGGACTTTATCCATGGGGAATCCATCCTGGACCACACCAGAATTCTCAGGGAAGTCTGAAGTCGTGCAGGCAGCTGTGTCTGGGCTTGCTGGTATTCCAGCTGCGCTGGCTCCACACTGCCAGGTGTGGTGTGACAGCACCGTAGGGGTGTGTGGGAAGGATTTGGTACTGTGGGAAAGGGGAAAGAGGTTGGTTTGAGCTGACCTGGATGAGACTTAGGTGAGAACAAAGTACCGTGTAGGTGGAGAAAGGCTGACCTTGTAAAACCCTGCTCAATGCCCTGAGCTCCTTGTTCCTCATCCTTTCACCTTTGCCCAGGCACAAATGAGAATGACTTCCTAGGACTTTAGAAACTGTATGTCTATAGCAAAACTTTGCCTCTTGGGTAGTTGCCTGTGCACTATGAAAGCTAAATCTGAAAACAAGAACCACAACTAAGCAGGTGTGGAATTGCTTGCAAGACTCTTTTTTTATGACTACAAAACACTGTCAGCATATTTCTGTTTTGAATTAATTGCTTTTCTAATCCCTAATTGTTTTATGACAGCTGAAATTGCTTGACTGGACGCCAACACGTATGAACTACTAAATGGTTCTTGCATCTTATTTTATGATCTGACCTCTGCTTTGAAATAAACTGCCTACTAAACAAAATAAGTTTCCTTGGTTTTCTGATGACATGTATATGTGGATTTTGAGAAAGGGAAGTGGGCATGGCAGTAAATTCAGAAATCACGAAAGGAAATATCTGGTGGTTATTTTTTTCTTCTTTCTCTAATACACACAGCAGTAGACCCACTGAAACACCTTTCCCCTCCTGACTTAGTTTATCTGGGCTTGTCTGCATGTAGCTCTAGTCTTGCCAGTTTATGCAAAGTTCTTGGGTGTCACTGCAGATGATGCTCCATGTCACATCTCCTCTTTTTCATATGCTTCTTACACTCCCATCTCAGATTTACATCCAGGTACAGCTAGAGCAGTGGGATGCTCTTGGTAGGCCCATGGGCTTTACCATCAGCTGGTGAGCCCACAGAAAGCACCTTTGGTCTTGCACTATACCTCAAGCCTTACATCCCTCCCGTGCCTGCAGCTACCCACAGCTCCTGGTGCACTACTCCCATGGCTGTGCGTGCACAGGCTGAAGACTCGCTGTTTCAGGAACCGATTTCTAAGGATGGCAAAGGTCAGCTTCTGCATTCGCCATTACATGCCCATGGTTTGCAGCAATGTTTTTGTCAAGAGTAATTGCCCTTTCTTGCCAGACTTTGCTGTCAAATTGGCTCTTGGCTCTTATTACACAGAGAAAATTTTTCTTGTGTATGTCCTCACTTGCGTGCTTGCTGCTCTGTGTGGCTGATGCAAGGTCACCCGTGGTACAGAACAATTTGCTTTCAGTGTCTGACTCAGGGCATCAAATTCGTATTATTAAAACTGTCTGAGTGCACAAACCCAGGGTCAGAGCAGGGCCCACCAGCCTCCTGCTCTGAACACCAGGCTGCACTCCTTGCAGCTGGGTGTCCTGACCTCCTCTCTCGGGTCCTAATTCCTCTCCTCCTTTATGTGCGGTCAGCCATAGTGCTCTTTCCTCACTTGGAAAAAGAGAAATTTTGGGTGATCACTTTTACTGCTTGGTATCTGCTGACTTCCCACAGACAGGGAGGTCTCTTTTGGTATTCTTGTGCTGAACTGCGAATAAATAAATAAATAAATAGTACCTTTTGGCAGAAAGATTATGAAAAACAGGGTGCCTAAGAAAGCACTTTCAGTGATATTAAGTAAAGGCAAGCAGGGATGCTGGAGCCTCACAGCTGTTCTGCAATGTACTCTTGGCTAGTGCAGCAGATGGCACTGGCCTGCTGGCTGGATGTACAGGCTTGGGTCAGGGTCCAGTGCAGCCTCGGGGCTTTCTGGTCACCAAAGTTCTCGTTTCGAGAGTTAAAATGATGGGCTGCAGTCATAATGCCTCTGGCCTTCCACATTCCCTCTTCTGCTGTCCCCATTTGACCTGTCCCTCTTCCCGTTGTTTCTATGTCAGGTGAGGCTGGGTTTCAGTTTTTTCCATTTTGGTTTAAGAAAAAGGGTGAATGTTTTTGAAAGGCTTGATCCTCCTGTTCAGCTGTTTGAGTCATTTAAATATGGAAATACTTTTCCTGAGCTTCCGAGACCCTGCAGCCACCCCAGCCTGGTGCAGGGGAAGTGGGCAGCCACGCCCCCAAGACTTTTGCTCTGTTCTTTCTGTTTTAGAGATGCGGTGCTCTTCCAATACCAGCGCGAGAACGTCTTTGATTTCCCAAAAATCTGTTTCTGCCTGGGGGTACATGCAGTGAGAAAAATAGACCTGTACCTCCCCGTCGGGGAATCGAACCCCGGTCTCCCGCGTGACAGGCGGGGATACTCACCACTATACTAACGAGGAACTGTACAAACTCGCTTTCCGCAGCAGTGGCCACATTGCATTGGTCGCTCGCAGCCCGGCAGTCGGCTGACGCCGTCCCTTCGGGCCAACCACGCTGCTCGGCGAGCCCGTCCCACCCCCTCCGCACTGCACCACGGCCGCTGTAGTTCTCGGCGCGATGCTCCCCCCCGGCGCGCAGAGAGCGGCACTACACCTCCCAGGGGCCGGCGCGCTGGCCGCCCCCGCTCCCTCCCCGCGGTGGGTGGGGCGGCCGCGGTGCTGCTCGCGGGCGCGCGGGGCGGGCAGACGGCGCGCGAGCGATGGCGGACCCGAGCTCGTTCTCGTCGCCCGCGTGCTGCCTCACGCGGCACCTCCACCTGCGCTGCCGCGCGGACTTCGGCGCGCGGGCGCTGCGGGGCACGGCCGCTCTCACCGCGCGCGCCGAGCGCGAGGCGCTGCGCTGCCTGGTAACGGCGGGAGGCGGGGGGGGCTCAGGGGGTGAGGGGAGACCCCCGCGCAGCCCGCGCCGGTGCCGCCTTCCCTCGTCTGTCTCCCGCGTCCTTCCCCTCCCACGGCCGGCGTCCCGGTCCTTCCTTCTTTCCTTCCTTCCCTCCCGCCGCTTGGCCCTCCCCGGACCCCCGGACTCGGCGGCTGACAGCGCCTCGCAGCCCCCGGTTCCCGCCTGGCCCCCAGAGCCGGCGCGGTGGGCAAAGGAAGAGCAGAAATGTGTGTTTTCTCGTTGAAACGGCGAATAGGGTGTTGCCAAAAAGATGGGAATAAATCAGTGGAAAACTACGCTTAGGGCTTTTTCACCTGTGTGTTTCGTTATGCCAGCTGCTTTCTCGGTTATTTTTGCAAATAAGAGTATGAACTTCATTAGCTCCTCTATATGTGAAGTTTGAGGTTTATGGGCTTCTTCTCATGCTGACTCCGTAAAATTCTTATGCGGTTGGCACTTATTTTCTTAAGAAAAAAGCCTAATCCTGTAAGTAATAAAAAGTAACACTTCACTCGAGCTACAAATGGGAGTGATGCACTATTTAGATCATCTTCTGTTGTGTGAAAGCCTGGATTTACAGTGGCTTGTTCCACGATGGAAGCCTTGGCAGAGGCTTTTATATCGTTTTACACTTCATTGCAGTACTGTGAAGCCCGCTACCTTCGTAGTTCACTTAGTAAACTCCTGTTTCTGCTTCCATGATCAGAAGTTGGTTTTTTTTCCTCTTTCCCCTCCAGTTTTCCCAGTTCAGCGCTGCTCTCTTAAAATGCTTGTTCCCAGTGGTCAACACAGTTAGGCAGTTTTTCTGGTTTTACTTAGTAAATACTTGTTCCTTTGGAGAGACTTGTGTTTAAGATTTCATAATTATTACACTATTTAACAGGTATGTAATGTTTTCTTCATCGCAGGTCTTGGATACAAGAGATGTACAGGTATTTAGAGTGACTGTAAATGGACAGGACGCACAATTTGCTTTTGGGGAAAAGCACAGTTTCAAGGGGACCCCCCTGGAAATCACATTTCCTAAGGAACTAAGAAGGTACACACTTTTGTCTGTTCCTTTAGGTAGTTTCCAAAATGCACTGTATAAGCTGCTTGTCTGCCTGTAGGGTTGTTCTGTAAAGCTTGCAAAGGGACCTAAATTAGGGTGTTGCATTCATTTGATATGATCTTGTAGATTAATTTGATATTTGATTTTCATTAGCCAAAACTTTGGGAGTCTTTTTACCTACTCCCAGATCATATATCATGTACAAAATTACTTGCTAAACTGAGTAGCAAAATAACGTGTAATGTATCAAAATTTTTCCAGTGCTTCTCATCAGTAATATTATTTCTGCTTCAACTACCTGAGTTCTGTCTTTTCAGAATTGCTACAGTGTAGTGCCCACGGAGTTACAGCCCCTGTTTGCCATTTTTTTACATAAGGGCTGACTCTGCATTTCTGTAGAACTTCGGGTTACCACTATGATTAGATAGAAGTATGTTTTCTAATAATAAAAGTTTTAATGTGTTGACTACACTAAGTCCCTGAAAACTGGTACTTGAGTTTTCTCAGCATGATGGAGAATTAACTAACCATAGTCTACCTCTTAAATTCCATGAATTTAAAGGTTGTTGCCAAATTACAAGATGCTTTTTGGTAGTTTGCTTTATATATTGTAACTCCATAGTATCTTACCCCTCTATGGTGCCAAAGCTGTGACTGTATGAGAAAGTTCCCTTGTTTGAATACAGTTACATACTAAGTTGCTTCTTACTTTTTGGGTTTCAGAACTAGTTACTACCTCTAAAAACTGTTGTCTGGTCTCTAATTTTTTTATTCATGTTATACTTTGAATTAATGCAATTTAGAAACACGTGTAATGTGAAAGAGAAAGGAATGTTGTACAATAGCTGTCCCTTCTGGGAAACACTTATGATCTAATATGAAACTGTACAAATTACGTACTTGAGCAAACAGTCCACACAAAAACATAGGGCTGTTTCTTTTGTGTGACTTTCAGATGCCTTTTTTTTTCTTTTTAGTGCTAAATTTCCTTGTAAGAAAAAAAGAGGAGTTAGAGTTATGAGTTGTGATCGTAAGAATTTATAATTTTGTGTGTGATATAGTCCCCCATGTAAGTATCAATAAAAGAGCGATAAGAAAGGGTAGGAGTTACGACTGACAGTCTGACTGTTCAGAAAGCAATATGTCTTTATGGTAGTATGAAGTATTTTCTCTTTTCTTTTTGAATATGTACTTTGGAATGCTGGTTATAAACCAGATATGTGTGCCTGGTCAGCTTATCTAACGTCCAGCTCCTCTGATTAGCTGAAGTTTGTTCTGATTTATGGTTGGATTGTTTATTCCAGAAAGTTGCATGTATAACCTGGAACTTTCTGAGAATAGAAGCAAGTACTTCTGTGTGCTTTTGGTGTGGTGGTTAAAATATGGTTTTAATAAATAAGAGTATGAATGTGTCAGGTTTGTGTGTGTTCTCTTGTGAGCAAGCTGATACCTGTCTTTCACAGAACCGTTAGTTTTTACTTTACACAAATTCTGAAACCCTGAAAAAAATTTGAACATTTTTTATTTTTCTTCTTAACCCTACTGTTAATAGGGATTTTCAGTAATTACTGAAAATTTGCAGACTTTTTTTTCTGCTTAAGGATCATACTTACAGAACGTTAACATCAGTAGCAAAATCTAAATTTTTTTTATTTACAGAATACACATTCTGTATTTTCCTATGTAAGGTTTTGCACTTTTTTGTTTGAGCATTTTTTATATGTATATGTGCAATGTTAGATAGCTGTGATAGAACTATATATATGTAGCTGGCCCAAATAGTTCAAAGAAGAAGTCCATGTTCTCCTTGAAGAGAGGAAAGGAAAAGTTTATGGTTAGTAAAAACAATAATAGAAATGTTTTGACATAAAAATTGAAATAAACTATCTAATTTTTACTATCATAATTTGATGGGAAAAGTTGTGCTTAGTATGCTACTTGTTCTCATTTTTAATGCTTTTGAGACAGTGCTGCAGACCTGTTTTCCAGAGTCTTTGCAGAGGTATTTCAGTGTGATCAGGATTTGTGTCAAAACAGTCTATGTTCTTTATTACACAGGGGACAAGAAGCAATTGTTGAAATCTCTTTTGAAAGCTCTCCAAAGTCCTCAGCTCTCCAGTGGTTTACTCCAGAGCAAACTTCTGGAAAGAAACACCCATTTCTCTTCAGCCAGTGTCAGGTTGAGTACTTTTGTTTTTTTAAGCTTGTTTACATACCACTATTGTTTTCCTCTGGTTTCTACAGAGCTGGAGAGGAAGTCTGCTAAGGGAAGGTACAGTAGCCCATAACTTCTAATTGTGCATGTCAAAGGTCCTAAAGGGAAACACTTAATGTCAGGATACTGATGAGATTTTTTACATGTTTGCAGTTTAATAATTCTGTAAGAGCTTTACGCTCTCCAGTTGTTGAAGAACATACACTACTTTGTAATCAATATATGTGGCTGCTGATCAGTCTTACCTACCATTATTTCTTTTGCAAAAACCTTAACTATGAAAACTACTGTCAGCTATAAGTGATAGAAGTATTGGTTTGTGGATAATGAATTCTCTGGAAGAGCTGTATAGATTTCCACAATAACACATTAGTTGATTTATTTCTAGTCCTCTGCATTAGAAAGGCTGTTATAACTTTTTTATTTTCTCCCTCCCTAGGCTACCCACTGCAGAGCCATCTTTCCATGCCAAGACACACCTGCCATGAAACTAACCTACTATGCAGAGGTAAATGAACCTAAGTCAATATGTATCTTAACCAAAGACAACTGCAACAATGGGAGAATTTATATTCACTCATTTTTGGGGGATTTTTTTGTAGCTGCCAACATGTGGCCCAAAATAAAAACAGAGAATGTTGATTTTTAGCTTAATGTAAGAGCCAAGAACTGTTTCTCTTCCCTGTAGTACTTCTCTAGCTTTTATGTTTTCTGATATATATATATTATATCAAGTCTTTTCATTCACACATATCTATTTCCAAAAGAAAGAAATACAGTAGTAAGAAAGAAATAAGTCCTAAAATTAAGAATGGCAAGAAGTAAGACAACAAAGAGTGCTGTAGCATAAAAATTCTTGAAATTACTCTTATGTATTCCTTTAAGTATATCTTTTGCTATGTGGTTAGGGGATCTTTGCAGTTTGATAGTTTGATTGTTTTAAGGAATCAAACAGCAAGATGTGCAATATGACATTATAATTCAGTTGTCTGAAGAAAGTGAGACTTTTAACTTCTGGTGGAGGTAACCTTCAGCTTAATTAAATATTACCGGTCTTCAAGACAAAATTTTCCACATACAATATATTGTACTTGACGGAGATGACTTAACCACAGAACAATCTGGGCTACTCTTTGTTATCACTTTGTTACCACTGCTTCTAGCCTGTTGTGTAATCCTATGTGCTGCCTGCACTGCTTATAGTTGGGTGACCTTTCAGATATCCGTTCCTAAAGAGCTGGTGGCTCTCATGAGCGCTAATCGTGATGGAGAGATGCCTGACCCAGAGGACAGCAGTCGGAAGATATACTGTTTCAGTCAGAATGTAAGTGCTCCAGGAGAGTGAATGGATGCCCACGGTCTTATTCCTGACTCATGCAGTTCACAATCACTTCAGAGATGGTTTTGATGTCATCAGGAAATCATGTGACTACTCATGGTGGGTCTTTGCTATTCTAGAAATAGGAGGTATTATGGATCTGGAGATCCATAATACCTCCTATTTCAGATACCTCA